ATTAATTTAATTTGCTTTTTTCGATATTCTTAATTAATACATTTTGTAATTAAAGTTTACGGCTAAAAGTAAAAAAGCAGAATATTGTTTTCGACCTTGATATTTGGTAACATACTTCTTCACGAAAACATTTAATGCAGTTTAAAACTAATTAGGTATTCTTTAAAACTATTATAATCAACGAGTGACCGTCAAAATACGCCTGGCCTAAACAATAGGTCACTTACGGGCTACATTCCTTAATTCTTTTAAAGCAAGAACAAGCACTTAAATAACAGTGTACGTCTACGTTCCCATAAACACAAAAACGGTGCGCAAGCGCATACTAATGCTATTATGTTCTCTTTCAATACGGGGAATTCGGGATTTGTACGACCCCTAACTACCTGGCACCCCCACTTCGCCAACCCTATGCAAGGCCCCCTTTCCCTCCTGTCATTTCATCCCCAACCCTCAACGATGCGCGGACGCCGTCTCGTTCCGAACGCCAAAAATAAGTGCAATGTACTATATTTAAAAATTATTTGAGTGATTGTGAACAGTGATTTATGATATAAGCGGATATAGTGTAACATAGTGGATAAGTTGTACATAACGATGGATCTCTCCATACCGAGAATCAAATATGAAACAGAAGATTACTACGAGGATGCATTCGATTTGCTGGATGCAGATCTGTAAGTTACTTTCTTACATTTGTACGTATAACACAAAGAACATGTATAAAATATGTAGTACATACTGATTGCAAACATGCATGTTATGTACACTTAATAATGGAATCAAAGGACTTTCCCGCAATTTACTTTCCCCACTTGCTTATACACTAAACGTACTCGAGGTTTCTTCATATAAAGTAAGACTAGAAAGCGACTTAAGCTTTTTTTTATTGGACTAAAAGGAGGAGTTACTAAAATCGACTGTATTTTTTATCTGTTAATTATTTGCATAACAAAAGTAAATATTTTAACGTTTTTATAATTTGCGAATCGAAATACGTAACCGAAGCATACAAAATTTGCAACTGTCTGCAGGTGCGCCGGTTTTTCGGAATCAGAAGGAATGTTTGTATTTTTTTTAACGAATGTTTTGCTTGTCAAGAGGTAATTTCCCTTTTATGGTAGTCGCTCGCTGAACAAAAAATAAGTTTCGACTTTAAAAACGCTACGTTACTGAACCGTTTCCCAGTTGTTGAAATTTTCTGCATTTTAAATATTAACATTAGATTTAATATATAAAATACAGTGTGCAGTGGCGGCATAAGAATATCCACTATCTCATATCATACCTATGGGTGTCGTAAGAGGCGACAGAGGGAAACTGAAGCAGGAGATGTGCGGCAGCATCTTCCTGATAACAACTCGAAATAATAAAAATACTAGTTGCCTACACGCCCGCCAAGGATAGCATCTAGGACAAAGGGCCACCATCGTCATATCAGCCAATCTATGGGGGAAACTTATGTTCAGCAGTGAACTTTGGATAGGCTGTAATTGTAAATGTCTTTCCTAGTTTTTAAATATATAGAATTGCGTTTACTCTTTTGCGTGTTCCAAAATAAAAGGATTGGGTTCAGTCTATTGCATTCTGTTTTTTTTTTTTTCAAATGAACGTATCAAATGAGCCAGCTTAAAAAAATGGTATATTTTACAGGTTTTTTTTATAGGATAAGGGTGACAAGCGAGCACATTGTCTACCTGATGGTAAGTGGTTGCTGCTTGCTGTGGCCCATCTACGTCTATCCTTGCTTGCGAATCAAAATGCAGATGCATTGTCAGCCGTGGGGACTAAAATGGAATGTCTCTTTTCCAACGTAAAACGGGTGTCCGATTCTCTACGCTCACCATACGAAACACAACAGCATTAAGTTGCTATTTTACGCTAGTATTCTGTGAGAGCGTGGTCCTACCCAGGCCGAGCCGACCCATTCGTGCTACAGCTATACCTCTAATATAGCGGCAGCATGGCTCTACCACGTATAAACAATAAATTAACAATAAATTGAGTTATCAGAGAAAATTATTGTCCTTGTTTCGAAAGAGTTTCTGTCACGAACACATTGCTGTTGTTTACCTAACGACCCACGGAATAATTTCGAGTGCAGTCTCTAGCCATTTTTAATTAATCCCTTTGTACGTGTGGAGCGTATTTGTTAGCTACGTGCTAATTTGGTAAAGAGACTCTGGCAGGCTTTTACCGCTGGGACTGGGACCAACCCGCCAACACCGCTCAGATTGGATTGGGAATTGGGAAGCAGGATTTGCAAATTACTTTATTACATGTACCATCTTTATGACACGTTACATATACATGTATGATATGTACGTGATTCTTTGTTAAATAGTCTGTGGTTACCTAAGACAAGCAAATAAAGAAAGACAGCGCTGCGTACATTTCAACTGATGCCGATACTATGCTTAACTTCTTGACCCACTCACGCACACATCTTTATTATATTTCTTTATCAGTCCATAAAGGTTCACCGCTGTACGCGCACACATATGCATCAAAACCATGGTGTTTGTTACAAATGATTTTACATACATAATATGTGCGAGTGCGTGTTCTTACAATAAGTTGAGCATGATTTTGACTTGGTTTTTGCATTACTTGAAATTTACGCAGCGTCCCTCTTTCTTTCTTCGTTGATCCGAGATGGTTATGTATAAGTTACGTAATTCAAAGTAATATTATAATAATAAGACTGCCGTTAATGAACACATTCACATATAGGATTTGCTTTAAAATTGTATTTCTTTACACTATTATTCATAAATTATTAAGTATGGCATTAATATTATTGATCTACTGTAAAAGTAGATTCAGTGAAACGTAAACCACTAGTACACAACCTTAAAGAATTGGCAAAAGAAAATGAATCCTGTGTAAATATAAAAAATCATCATAAGACGATATAGTATTAATATACCTATTTCTAGAGTCATGGTAGCTCAGGGGACTAAGTGCTCGTAAATTTTACAATACGCAAGCAACCTGGGTTCAAGCGCTGACGTCTCCAATGAAATTGTTAATTTGAAATTTAATTCCTTTTTACCTCGTGCTTGCGGTAAAGCAAAACACCTCGATAAATAAAATATTTCAAGGGCATTCGAAGTCCACCAACACGCACTAGAGCAGCGCAGCGCGGCGGACGAATCACCCCGTTACCCTTTTGGAAATGACGACGCTTCATTTCATTTTTGTTTAAGAATTTAGCTTTTTAACATAAATACACTTTTATACTGTTAAATTATACCCTTCTGTGTTTCCATAAGCATACGTATCGATCATACGTATCGTTCATACGTATCGCACTAATGTAGTATATTCATTCGTTGAATTGATCATTAAGTAGCGTGTCCAAATAACTAGGAAATCCGTGGGTGCATGCATTGCCTGTGATTACTGGTATGTGTAATGTTATGAACATATTCATAGCTAATTAAGCATTTCAACCGGCTTTGAAATGTATTCATTTGACGATGTGTATAAATTTACGCACGACTCCTTATTATTTAATTCGCTAGAAACTCAATTAATCACGGTGTGTTTTTATTGGTTTGTTTTGTCTTATTTTTTGATGAGATTTTTTGTAAAGTTCTCATGGTAGATACGCTTTTAAACTAATATAATGGTTAAACAGCACTAAAATAACAAACAATTTTTTGAAATACACACAAAAACTTATACGCCTAGGGTAGGTAGCGACTACAGATCATTAATTACAGTGATAATGGAAATAAACTCTTGACGCTTCTCCCTGTCATTTACTAAATTAATATATTATTCAAAATTTGCCACATATTTAAGGAACTGCCACACTGGAAGTTCAGAAAGTTAACAGCTCAGCCCTCAGTGAGTGTTGTAAAAATTGTTTGACAAAGAGAAAAGCCCTGATCTTGTATTCCCATGGGTACTATAAATAAACCATATTATATCATATGTAAAATACCCAGACCGCGACGGAAAGCGGCGTCGCTGGTGCGAGATCTGGTATTTACGATCACCAATTCGTTTGCCACGAATAAGGAAAATTCTATTTGCTATGAGAGAGGTCCAAGTCCAATAATTGTGGACTTCTTATGTTTCCGCGAACACTACACATTTAAATAAAACTAGGACCAGTCCCTCACCTGACCATAATGGCCTGAAATTTTCGAGGGGGTCACTAATAATAAAATATGTCTAGCAAATTAGACTTTATTGCACAATACACAATTTTATTGCACACATTATAAAACAATTGGAAGTCTTCTATTTTTTAGTGGCAAATTGGGTGATAATATTTGAGACGTCTGAGGCTATCTCTAGATAAATATTTAGAAGAGTTAAACCTGTCAGCCTGTCTTCTAACATGTTTGCTCTCAACCAGGTTTTTAAATGCCTTAGCCTAGAAGATGATCTCACTGATGTCGCACCGTTTATATGAAGAGTTGCCAGAATTTTCAGCAGTCTTTTTTATAGGATAAGGGTGACAAGCGAGCACACAGTCCACGTGATGGTAAGTGGTTGCTGTGGCCTATAGACTTCTACATCTGTCCTCGTTTGCGAATAAAATGCAGATACGTTGTCAGCCGTGAGGACTAAGATGGAATGCCTCTTTTCCAGTAAAAAGAATCTCCGGTTCTCTACACTCAACAAATGAAATACAGCAGCATTAAGCTGCTATTTTACGCTGGTATTCTGTGAGAGCGTGGTCCTTCCCCGGTTAAGCCGACCCAATCGTGCTACAACTATACTATTAATATAACTGTAGCATAGCTCTACTAAGTATAATTTTTATATTTATATTTGGGTAGAAATCATCGTCGCAAACTTCAATTGTAGACATCACACAAGGAAGTTTTGTATCAGTATTTTCTTTGAGCTCCCGTTTCCACTTTGAAGTCCATAGCTGATACTCTCTAACGGGAGTGGCAACAGGAACACTCAAGAAATGGAAATTACATACTGATACTTTCTTCACATCTTCTCCTGTATATTCAGATTTTGGCATAAAAATGCCTAATACGAACAGGTTCTTCGTATCCGCAGAAAATCGGTCCTGTAGGTTAGTCATAATGCTATCTATCAGTGGAATATAAACAGTCAGTCATTTCCTTGATAATTATCGCGAAGTCTGTCAGTAATATTTAGAAGACTGCATTTGGACGTGTACCAGAGGGGGGGGGGGGGGGGGGCTGTTGTCCGTGCGTCGATGTGACTCAATCTTCGATGTCGTATTCGCGACGTGGTATTCTGTGAGAGCGTGGTCCTTCCCTGGTCGAGCCAACCCATTCGTGCCACAACCATACTTCTAATATAGCTGCAGCATGGCTCTACCACGTATAAAATATTATATAAAAGATATAGAGATATTTTTTAAATATTTATGCCTGTATATTCTTTCGATGAATTATTAATAAAATAAAATGAAAGGTTACGAAAAGCTATACACCTATAAGATTAAATGTAAAAACATACATAAACACACCTACTCGCTGCGGTCGTGCGACGAACACTGAGCGGTGAGCGCGTTCCGTACAGAATTTTTACGAATGTGTGTTGCCACTCGTACAAAATCTATGGAAGACGTGCGTTCGGAGTGGTTTTCCGTTCGGGATCCCGAACGCACAGGCGGTCATACGGAATCCGGCCTAAGGCCAGCCACATACATACGGAATTCCATTTCGAGATTTCGTTTCGATATTCCGATACGGGATTCCGAACGCAGCAAGTCCATATAAAATTTATGACCCGCCACACACGTACCTTATTTTTCCGTACGGAATTTCTCCGATTCGAGATTCCGTATGACCGCCTGTGCGTTCGGGATCCCGAACGGAAAAAAAGCCGCTCCGAACGCACGGCTTCCATAGATTTTGTACGAGTCGCAACACACATACGTAAATTCCGTACGGAATGCGCTCAGTGTTGCCACCTTGGTGATTTTGTCACTAGATCTGGTGATTTTTGATCTGGTGATCTGATTTTTCAGAGCTCTTAGCGATATTTTTTCATCGTTTAGCGACTATTTATTTTTTAGCGATTTTTGGCGATTTTCAATTAGGAATTTGGCAACACTTATTTGAGACGGAAATCGTTCTTTTTCTGGACTTACTGACTCTGGTAGGAAATTGCACGTGCTTAGTGTAAGAACAGTAAAGACATTAATTAAAAGTGTGTCCATCGTATCGTACCATCGCACAGTAGTCCCGTTTTGGTGTTTCATACAAGTAGGATTGTCCAAAAATCAAAGTGTTTGTTTGCATCGGGGAGCAAGAATAGTGAAGTTAAGAATATTAAAGGAACTGGAAGAAGAAGAAGGAAGAATGGAACTGCCGGCCAAGAAAAAAATATATACGCAAAAGTATAGAAAAGAGCATGATGAATTCAAAAGCTGGCTTAAACCTTTACCTGGTGACGAACTGAAAGCGTTTTGCTCACTCTGTAAATCAGAATTATTAGCCAAATTAGCAGACTTAAAAAACATGCAGAAACGAAAAAGCATAAGCAAAAATTACAAGTAATATCCGGAAATCAAACAATAACATTCGCAACAGCCGAAAATTCCTCGAAACCAAAGGCCCGTAAAGGTGAAGGAATGCTAGCTCTTTATATCACAGAACACAGTTCAGTTTCAAACATTGATCATTTAACTGAGGTAGTTAAATAGGCTTTCTCAGATTCTCAAGCCACAGATGACTTAAAAATGCATCGTATCAGGTGTACAGAAGTTATTAAAAATGTTTTAGCTCCACATTTTATCGGAGAACTAGTCAAGGATATAGGACAGCAGAGATTCAGTCTCATAATTGACGAATCAAATGACATCAGTACAAACAAGAAACTGGGTATTGTAATCAGATATTTCAGTCCGAAACTTAAAAAAGTTGTTTCATGTTTTCTAGCTTTTGAACCACTTAAAAGCGGCGATGCCATCGGAATTGTCGAAGCCCTACTTTGTTGTTTACAAAAATATGGCCTTGATAAAAATAAAATGGTGTGATTAGGCACAGATAATGCATCTGTAATGACTGAGATGAATAATGGAGTGTACAGAATACTGAAGAATGATATACCAAATCTTATTATTATTAGATGCACTTGTCATTCATTGCAACTTGCGGTTTCTCATACATCGGAGCAGGCGTTACCACGCCATTTAGAATTCATGATCAGAGAAACATACAATTGGTTTGCCCATTCCACAAAGCGTAAAGTTGAATATAAAGAAATTTACGAAACTATAAATTGCGGTGAAGCACCTTTACAGGTTGTAAAGGTATGTGGTAGGTTGTCCGTTGAATCAGCAGTACAAAGAATTTTGGCGCAATATGAAGAACTGACTTTACATTTTGGAATTGTCAAAGATCGATGCTACACGGCAGATGTATTATACGGTATGTACAAGGACGACACCAAATACTTGTATTTGTTATTTTTGAAAAATATATTACATGATGTACAGATTGCTATAAAAAGCTTTGAAAGTGAAACTACAAATCCCCTTCAATTATTAAACGTGTTGATTACACTCTTGCGTTCAACTTGCAACAGGATACTGTTGCCAAATGCAGCAATCACAGATAAGGACTTCTTAAGCATCGATATCGATAGAAACCTCAATCCAGTTCCTTATATGGGATACCTATTTGAATCAGAGAGCGCAAAAACATCATTAACATGAAATGCTGTATCGACAATAAACCGTCGCTGCATTGAATTCAATGTAAAGTTAGCAAAGGAAATCCAACAAAGACTGCCGTCTAAATTATACTGTATTGGAGTTAATACCGAAATTGGGCCCAGAGACGGTTCTGCGCCAGGGCAAGGATAATTCTATATCGGAACTAGCTAAAGAACTTGGTTACAATGCCAATGACGTTGACAAAATATTGCAGCAGTGGCACAACATCTGTTTTATCCACTGGAAGAATACGAATGATGTTATAAAATTTTGGGCTGAGATGAATGAGCATAGCAATGCTGCAGGAATAAATGAATTTGGAGAAATAGCTCATCTTGCTATAACCGCTCTATCATTACCTCATTCTAATGCTGAAATTGAAAGAATTTTCAGTGTTATGAGCATCGTTAAAAGCAAATTACGAAACAGAATGGCCAGTCCACTACTAAATGCCATAATCTTTATTAGGAACACATTGAAAGTTCTGAAAGTTAAATGCTTCAACTACGAATTGCCTAGCGATGTCATTGCGGCTATCGGCAAAAACGCAAAGTACTCATTTAAAGATCTATCACAACTAACAACATCTTCAGCGCAAATGTCCGCGTCTGTGGATAGTGAAGATATGATGGAAGATATAATATTTCAAAATCTTGAATTTTAATCAAGTCTATTTTTTTATCTATGGACTGTTACTATTTTTAAACTATTGACTGTTAATAAATGACCTCTTTTTTAATTTCATAGATATAATACTAAGTACTTAATTTTAATTAAAAAAAAATAGCGAGATCTGGTGGGTTTTTTTTTCAATCCAAATTTCCAAAATATGGCGACATTTTACTCTGGATCTAGTGACAAGAAAAAAATTGAGGTGGCAACTATGCGCTCAGTGTTCGTCGCACGACCGAAGCAAGTAAGTTTATTTATGTATGTTTTTACATTTAATCTTGTAGGTGTATAGCTTTTCGTAACCTTTCATCTTATTTTATTTAATAATTGGTCGAAAGAATTTACATACATAAATATTTATATCTCTGGATAGATAGATCTTTTTACATACTATTGACTATATTGCAAGCTTAGGGTGATAAGGGGATGCACCTAGTAAGAATGATACAGCAACAATGGAATCGCAATTAGAAAATCGTCGTCATTATTCGCTGGCAGAATGTCTAGACTCAATGGCTAACGTCTCTCAACTGACCCTTGTTATTCTGAACGGAAAAAAACGTGTGTGTGTGATGTATTCACTGAATCCCGGATTTTCGGGACATTCGGGATTCCGAAACGGAATTCCGTATGTATGTGGCCGGCCTTAGAGTATACTAACTAAAGCCACGCACACTATGATGACGTCAGGACCTACTTAGAACCACAGTGGACAGTTGCTTATGCCGTCTCCTTTTTGTATCTGTTTCATGTATACAACAGACTGTTAGGCATTTATACTTATACAGAACACTAATTATTTACCTGTATAAATCTATGATGTCTTATTTTATAGTTCATAATCTCTAAACTTTCTTTTTATATTTTTCAAAATCAAGCCGTTATTCTCTGAGAATGTGGTCATACCCTGACCCATTCGTGCTGCGACCATAATATAGATGCAGCATGGCTCTACCACGTATGCTGCATGCTATTTTTGTACGAAACAGCGTAGTTGATTAAAACTAATATTACGGATTTTATCGCTTTAATTCTCGACGTTTCGGTTGCTACACAGCACCCATGGTCACGGGGTTGACTGAAGTGTTTGACGTCGTGATTTCATAGTTAACTCGGACTACTTTCAGCTTTTGAATATTAATTTTTGGATCTACGCAAAATGAGTTTACAGTATCTTTAAGTCTTGCAATGGTATGCTTGGTTTTGAATTTAATTTTATTAATTATAGGATGTGCCGTGTAGTGGCGGTGTAAGAATATCCACTACCACATATCATCCCGTGGGTATCGTAAGAGGCGACAGAGGGAAACAAATCAGGAGATGAGCAGCAGCGTTTGTTTTCCTGATAACGACTAAAAATATAAAACTGTGGTTGCCAACCCGCTTGCCAAGCGTGGCAACTATGACAAAAAGTATTAGGCAATCTACGGCGGATGCCTATGTTTAGAAGTGGACTTTAATAGGCTTTATAGGATCCCAAGAATATAGTAGCACCCAGCTATCTAATAAAATATGTTTATTTTTATTTCAATAGCCTAGCGAATCATTCTTGGTAAGAATTGGTGTTCTTTTGCGAGGGTTTGTGGGTAATCAAATCTGATAATCTGACTGCAGACTTCCCAGAACGTCGCTTAGTTTATTAAATGTGTAGTATTGTGTAAATATAAGAAATAATTATCTAAAAGGACGTAGTGGTAAAGTGCGTGACGTTGCTTACAGTGTGGGAGATAGCAGCGATCGTCGGCGGGCGGGCAGCGGCGCACGCCACCGAGCGGCGGCGGCCGCAACGACGACGGCGCACAGCAAGCAGCTGGCGGCGGGCGGGCCCAACCACCCGCCCCAGCCGCAAGGTAACAAACGTAATGTCCACATTGTTGCTACACCTTCCCCCCCCCCCCTCACCCCCTAGCCGAGTCGATTGATCGAGCGACAGACCGATCGAGACGTGTTTAGCCTAGTGCAAAATCGATATCTCTTAAACTATTTTTTATGTGATCAAATGTTACGACTACAGTAGATCTTTCTTCCGTATGTCGGAAGAACAGCTTAGCCAACGGCACTATCAAGCCGTCAATACATCAATATAAAGCACAATATTATACGTAGTTAATACTAAATAAATAATAGATTTGAACGTTATGAAAGTAAAAGAAAAATAAACAAAGAAACAAATTAAATTTGCAAATTTTTTTTTGATTTCTCCCAAACAACTTCCAGTAAAGAGTTGATGTTACTAAACGTTTGTAAAATGTTTTCATAGAGGCGGAAAATAAGTGCAGTGCGTATGAAAGCAGACGGTATGACGTCATACAAACTGTTTCATAATACAATAAGCTATTGTAACTGGTGCCGCCCACGCTGCTCCGATCTCTACAAATCAAAACAACATGAAATATTCTTCTGCTATACCTGGGTCATTCGATGATTTTAACAGAAATAGGAAGCTTGTGTTAAAAAGTACATTTTTTAAGCTATTTCTAATAGATCGTGAAAATTACATTAGCATTGATTTAAACTTTTGGATTGAAATTGTATTACCCACGATATATAAAATAATTCAAATGATAGAATCATTTGCATAATATTTATTTTTATTAGCCGTAAAACAAACATCATGTTATTTGCTCCCAAACCAAACATTTACATAAATTTCTAGAATTATTTAATATTTTTACATACTTAGGTATGAAACCTTCCAAAAGGCCTTTTTTACTTTAGTGGCGTAACATATCTCGATCGTCTTTATTGCTTTCGAAATTATGAACTTCCTATTTTATAATTTTGTCTTGAAGCTTCCTTGCGACCAGTTGATAAAATTTACTTCCAATGCATGACGTAATCTTTTTTACGAAATTTGCATGACCCTCTTAACTATAGATTATTTAATCTTAATTTACAACTCCTAGATTGTATTACCTATTTGATACATACAAAAACATATAAGAAAGTTACTATTAAATAATATGAAGTATAGTATGCATATATTCAATAATAAGATATGAACAAAATTTACTCTTAATATCACAACCATGAAAACTAAATATTATTTGTTATAAATCAATTATAAATTATAAGAGAGAGGAAAGTTCAATACTTCGATTTATCATTTGAACTTGTATGGTGATGATGATTTTGGATCAACTTGACATAATTTAAATCATAATTAATATACCTCATGCAATCGATGTATAGTAAACCTCTGCAGTTTGTTTGTATTCCCAAACACCAATTTTTATTTGATCACTGTTTATATTTTTATTATATCAGTTTGCCAATAATAAGCATATTAATCCTAATTCTTAGTTGTTATATTCAGTTGTATGCTATTCCTATGAATTGAAAATTTTAATTTTTTTTATGTCGTTATTAAATACGTAGTATCATGTTCCTGAATGCATTCTCCAGTAGCCAAAATTATTTAGTTTTTGTGGCACCTTTTTATTTGTATAGCATGAATGTACATATGTTTACTTCATACACATTACACATACATAGTACTTATATCAAATTATTGTTTATATCGAAATGTATCTGTTCATTTAATATAATTATGTTTAGTTGAAACTTTACTAATATAAAACACAAACTACTTTTAAACCTTTGATCTTTAACAGTGTTTTCTAAAATTCATAAAAGGTGCCCATTATAAATAGAAATGAGAAAATTAAATTGTTTAACGTGGCGACGATACGAAACGACATAGAGCAGGCTTTTGTGAAGAACGTGAGATGTGTCGTATATTAATAAATGTGGGATTACCTATCGTGAGACAGTTTCAGAAAGTTTCGAATGGTTACCTGTCTTCGCATATAGCTATTTGACGATTTATTAATCTATAATATTTTTGTAATTTTTCATGATTATGACCTTTATAATTATCATTTCGATTTTTATTTTTTATTAAAAAATGTTAATGCTTTTATATTTTATTAAGAAAATTAGAAAATGTCATACGCAATGGACGCTGTAAAGCGATTAAAACATTTGCAGGCTTCCGTTATAAATCTTCAAATTACACTTATGCTATTCACAATAAAATACGTTTTAATAAAACTTTAAGTTAAATTAACATATAAGTAATATAGAAATAGTGGATAATATGTAACGCGCGGCATACCGTTTTGTGTTCGCATGCGGGCGCGGTGACACAGGATCGGGCTGCGGCGGCGATGGCGACTACCAGCTGGTGCAGCACGAGGTGCTCTACTCCTCGTCCAACCGGTCAGTGGGTTCATTTTATTCTGTCCTTGCTATTGCTCAAAACACGTTTCCCATTCAATCTTTGACACTATGTATAATCCTTACATTGGATAAAACAAAATAATATAATAAGTATATAATACAAAAACAGTAAACACTACTTATCGTTGATATTTGAGGATCTGCTGTTACCTCCCCAAAGATATTCCTTATCTCCTACGAATTTATTATGCCTGTATAATCTACAAATATATATCTTGTTAATTGGCCATATATTTACAAGTCGCGACACGTAACGCTAGCGCTGAACGAAACGTGGAGGGGATAGCTGCGCATGGGTACTGTCGTGTACGAATTGAATTGCAAGAATGAGACTGGAGAGCCAATTAGCGCGTGCGAATGATACGCACGAGCCAATCAGCGTATGCGAACGACGCACGCTTGACCCGTGACCCGTTTACTACCGCTAGACTTTCGTGCCGCTACTTATACACACACGGCTGGGCGCCCAGCCGGGAATAGTCGAAACGGCTTGCTAGGATCTCAAAACATGGCGATCTGATAAAAGCAAGTATTGTCAAAATCGGACCGAAATCTATGACTTTCTTTCTACTTTTAAAAATTATTAATTTTCAAGGCGGGAAGTTAAAAAATATTACATCAAATAGTTTAAAGAGATAATTCATGTTTTTCTTAAGTAGACCACGCTTTAACTTACTCTTTGTAAAATTATTGTAATAAATGAGTTTTATAGTAAGAAACACTAGTATAAAATGGTAAACAAATGAAACAATGTTTTGCTATATTTAAAAATCGAAAACACACTGGAGGTAAAAAGTTTTAAGCATTTTTTAAAGTCTATCTTGCGATTGTTATCACTTGGTGAAATATCATTTATTCAACCAACTTCAACAATACCGTAAGACGAAACCAGTCGGTTTTATATTAGTCACTATTACGTTACATACAGTACATGTGTCTATTCAAATCGCAAATAAAATGTTTATATTATTTTGCGTTTTATTCTGCGCGCAGGTACGAGGTGTTGGAGTTCCTCGGTCGCGGCACTTTCGGGCAGGTGGTGAAGTGCTGGAAGAAAGGCACCAACGAGATAGTCGCCATCAAGATACTTAAGAACCATCCCAGCTATGCTCGCCAAGGCCAGATTGAGGTAAAGGATTATGATAATTAAAAAATATATATAACTTGTTTTTACGAGAACTTAAAAAAACACCAGATCTATAATAGGAGTAATTGGGGAAGTAGTTTGCTATTAACTCGAAAACTATTCGCGATATGGGAAAATGATAATATTTTTATCATTTTCCCATATGTTGAAGATTCGTTAATTTTCAGAAGAAAAAAATCCATTTACAATTTAAAATCCATTTTGAATCAGAAATTTAAGAAAAAGAAGATAGTGTGCTGACCTATTTTGTGTAAAATCGTTTTGTTTTATCAGTTTTAGTATTCACAAAACATCCTGCATGTTTTTCGGGTAGTTCACTTCTGGCATTGTTCTTTATCTGTTTGTCAAGTTTCATCACAATAGGTTTCTACAGATAAACGCACAGACAATTTTTTAATAACGCCATGAGCCTATAGAAGCTAGTTATCTCGATATTACAGACCTATCCCTTTTATTTACAGATTTTTAGTTGAACAAGTTTTGAGAAACCAAATAGTCATGAATAAATTGTGTAATTTATTAAAATACCCACTGCATATAAATCATAGCCCGAAACGGTTCTCAAATGTTTAGACTTGTTAAAAACACCTTAATCTCTATATAAATCACGGTCGCATGGGAGACAGTTGTTTTGTTCCTTTTTATTTAGTTTGCGAAGTACAATTTCCCAGAAGCTCTTAGTTTCAGTTCGTTCTGGCCGCCGGCCAATTATTACAAAAACTTTTTGTTTGCTTTGCAGAGTGCTCGCTATATATTTGTATTTTTATTCGCTTATATGAAAGCAATTCTTATCTATTAAGTTTCTATTTGAAATTATGAAATATTATTTACAAATATAATGCTGTTTTTTTTTTCTTTAATTATGAACTTTGCTTGTGAATTAATATTATGTACGCCGTGCCTTGTTGCAGCGTAAGATAGTCCACTACCTCACAAAGGCCCTGTCGCATTGAACTCAAAATAATAAAAACTGCAATTGCCAAGCATCTTGCTAATGCCGGTGCCAGATATAGCAACAACATTTGAACGCTTATTTGAAGGACTTTGAACACTTGTTTGAACACTTATTGTCGCAACCAGCCAGACATGCTATGCAAACACATCTCTCCACAGTACGTTGATAAACGACAAACAAGATGGACGACGATTTTGTGGATGCAGTGTGCCTGCATTATTTAAGTGCATGTCATTATTTATTAAAAAATCTATCAAAACGGCCGAAAAGCAGACGCGAATGGAGGTGTTGTCAATATTAATATACTGAAATACAATATAACAATAACTTACATTACATAGTTACATTACAAAGAGAGTATTACTTAATGTTATTTTTTACGATTGAACTTTGCGTAAGTGTGGCAGGTTACGCAAACATTTGAACGCTTTGATGTGCGCTAAAAAACCGAAACCGCTTGGTAAAGTGCATTTCTTTCCCCGTCCCGTGTTACACATAGCTTCAAACAAGTGTTCAAATGTTTTAAGCTGTATCTGGCGCCGGCTTAAGCGTAACAACTATTATCAAATATACTCGCTTGAAACGAGGTATTCCATCTCAGTCCTCAGAGGTGACAACGCATCTGCATTATGATTCTTTATCGAGAATAGATGTAGACGTCTATAGACCACAGCATCCCCTTAAAATCAATATGTTTTGTAATTTATAGTAGATTATGTACCATACTACTGTGCAGTAATTATCTTCTCTTGCACCGCATTTTAGCCTACCACTCCTCTTTGGAATGTACAATGGAGACAGTTTACAGCTGATAACTTCGTCGTCATCATCAGGTGAACTAAGAAGGAAATCACTATAAAAATGAAAAAAAATCCTTACAGGTTTCGATCCTGTCCCGGCTCTCGCAAGAGTCCGCGGACGAGTTCAACTTCGTCCGCGCTTACGAGTGCTTCCAGCATCGCTCGCACACGTGTCTCGTGTTCGAGATGCTGGAGCAGAACCTGTACGACTTTCTCAAGCAGAACAAGTTCTCGCCGCTGCCACTTAAATACATCAGACCCATACTGCAGCAGGTGCTCACCGCGCTGCTTAAACTTAAGGTCCGTATAATAAATGTTAATTATTTTGTTTTTAGGTGGCAAGCTTTCTTTTTTGTCTAGGATTTAATTTGGACAGTTACCAAAGTCTTATCTATTTCTGCCGCTAAGCAGCAGTATACTGTTTTGTTCCAGTTTGAATATTTAATGACAGAGTTTTGACGGCTCCGTGGCGCAGTGGCTTAGCAATGAATTGTTGCACTGGGGGCCGCAGGTTCGAATCCCGCACGGAACAAGTATTTGTATGGCCTACAAATAATTGTTCCAGGTCTGGATGTTTGTCCTCGTGCAATTTATGTCTGTAAACTACCTCCACGACACAGGATAAAATCCTGGTGTAGGGGTAACGTTTTTAATTTAAAAAATAAACAGAAAAAAAGAGTTTGCAAGTGATGCCCTAGAAACAAGATTATCAAACAAATTGGCGATATATTGCAAATGGGCCCTTAACCCACAAAGTTCTAGTTTAAACTAGAGATTGCCTCTGAATACTAGCCTAAGATAAGACAGCAAGTATAAATACACGGCCTTCCGTTTTAGTTCCTGCTTCTAAGATGACAACGCATCTAGTGTCCATTCGTAGTTATGGATATTCACCATCAGGTGGGTGCTGGGCTCCTTTGTAGGGTACAACTTGGGTAGGTAAGATAATATTGTAAAAAAAATATTAACCAAAGGAAATGGCTGAAGATCAATAGGATATTGCGTATGAAAACTGTAGTTGGCAAACAAATTTATCTAGCTAATCCACCTCTTTTTCATTACATGCATACTTTTACGTTGGTTTTCTGTAAGAGTTGTCCCTAATTAACGTGGTAGAACCATGACACAGTTATATTAAGGCTGCAGCCCATTCGTGCTTGTCAGGTAGCACCACACTCACAAAATGCCAGCGTGAAACAGAAGAATACTGCTGTTTCGTATGGTGCAAGTAAAGAAAACCAGAGACCCTTCTTGCTGTTAACGAGGCAATCCATCCTAGTCCTCAGGAGGATAGATGTAAATGTTTATGGCTCCTGCAGCATCCACTTACCATCAGGTGGACCTTGACCTTGTTTATTACCCTTATCTTTAAAAAAAACTTGGTGACCACATGCTCAATTGTAGCGCATATTGGTGAATGTGTGTACCACTTCTAGTTTTTAATCTTTTAGTAATCATTTACTTGTTTGTGTTCTGTGTAAAAAAAACATTCTCGATGTTATATTTTCCGATTGTAGCAACTGGGCCTCATCCACGCGGACTTGAAGCCGGAGAACATAATGCTGGTGGAGCCGGCTCGGCAGCCGTACCGCGTCAAGGTGATCGACTTCGGCAGCGCATCGCACGTCAGCAAAGCGGTCTGCAACACCTACCTGCAGAGCAGATACTACAGGTGAACACTACAATTTACTCTATAGCAATCTACCTATTTAATTATCTATTAGATATGAAACATTAAAGATATTGAATTCATATAAAATTTAAATACGTAAATAAACCTACTGAAATTTGCTTGTTATGAAACATTTTTCATAGCAAAATCTGTGCTTGCTGACCAACTGCTAGACAGACAGAAGGTGAGTATAGGATAACACTTAAGAAATGTTTTTCCGATGGCAAATCTTGATAAGGATTTTATCTAATAATGTTTTCATCTTTTATTAGTCCATTTTTAATGAAATATATACAGATGTAGAGACAAACTTATGAAAGAAGATGCCAGTCAACGTTTATTTGCCATATTTTATAATTTAAATTAAAAAAAATATGTCCATTTAAGCATAAACCAATGACAAATACAAATAGTTTTATGATATGAATATCACCAACTTTACGGATATATCGCGTTTAATTTGAATAATATTAGTAAAATATAAAAAACAATCATTAAAGTAACAAACATTAATCTGTTTGTTTTTATGTTGTTGAGTGTTGATAATTGCTAAAGTTTTTGAAATTCAATTTTACTTTAGAACACTTCGACTCATTTTGGCAGATGTGTACACCCTGCAATATATGGTGTAATTTCCTTTAAAGAATAAGATAAATATTTTTAGAAAATATGTCACATTTTTGCATTATCAGAAGCCGATCTCAATACTTTACAATCTTCGGCTACATCACCATATAACATTATGTTGGATAAAAGTCAAGCACTAACTTATAATTGAAAAAAAACAACAAATTTTTGTTCTGAAATGAATATTTTACATTCTTAGCACATTGCACATTACTTAATGCAGTAAAATGTAATATCTTTCAATATAGGTGATAAAAAACATTTTAAAATCTTGTCTGAGTAATAAATCTTTTTTGAAGACATGTGACAGCAGCCAGCATTCTAATTGCATAATACTTCGTAATACTGGGGTTGAGAACCCAGCCATGAAATGTTACTATTATACAAATACTTGTGTACTTATTTATAAAAATTAATGCACTTTTAATACATTTTTTTTCATTTTTTTACACTTAATATAATTTGCACGAGCCACACATTAGAACCATGCTGCAGCTGTATTAATAGTATAGTTGTAGCACGAATGAGTCGGTTCGACCGGGGAACGACCACGCTCTCACAGAATACCAGTGTAAAATAGCAGCTTAATGCTGTTGTGTTTCGTATGGTGAGTGTAGAGAACCGGAGACTTTTACTGGAGAGGCAATCTATCTTTGTCCTCACGGCTGACAACGCATCTGCATTTTAATTCGCGAACGAAGATAGATGTAGATGTCTATGGGTCACAACAACCACTTACCATCAAGTGGACTGTATGCTCGTTTGTCACCCTTATCCTATAAAAAAATGTTGTATAGTGTCCAGCAAAAAATAAATGAAACTCATCTTTCAAGCCGAACCATGATTAATTTTTTAATTTTCCAGAGCGCCGGAAATAATCCTGGGCCTAGCATTTTGCGAAGCAATAGACATGTGGTCCCTGGGCTGCGTGGTCGCGGAACTGTTCCTGGGCTGGCCCCTGTACCCGGGATCTTCGGAGTATGACCAGATACGATACATCTCGCAGACACAAGGCCTTCCTACTGAACATATGCTCAATAGGTAACTTTATACTGTATACATATATTCGATATTGAAGAATAGGATAGTAGCTTGTAGTGTACAATGTACATTCATGTGCATATTGCAAGACTGAGGTTATTCAAATCTCAGTTAGCGCCAACATTTGCGCAAAATCACAATATTTTTCAATTGTTATTGTATTGTGATGCATAAGTGTGCATACTTGCACCCATTGCAACAAATTAGAATAAATTGCTTTTTTCACTGAAAGTTTTAATGGTTTTTATCTTGCTTAGTAGTTGCTATTTTCAATATGCTTAGAAAACTCCCAAAGTTCTTAATGTAACATTTTTATTACAGTGCATCAAAAACGGCGAAGTTCTTCTACCGCGACGTAGACAGTACATATCCATTCTGGAGGCTGAAAACCCCCGAAGAGCACGAGCTTGAGACGGGAATTAAGAGCAAAGAAGCCAGGAAGTATATCTTCAATTGCCTTGATGATATTGGACAGGTTAGTATTAAACATTTCATGACTTACAAATCTGTTTAAACAAATACAATTTTATACAAAGACAAATTCCATAATGTGTCGGGAATTTTGAAAATCATATGCAATAAATCTTATATTTTTATACCACTTACGTTTAAGTCAGTACTTACTTCACTTCCGATGGTAAGTGTTGAGGTAGCCCTAGACGGTAAAGTGCATTTGACTAACTTGTCATGAAAACACCTACACCCTTGAAGAATCTTATGAAATTTTTAAAGGGTGGACTCAAGCAATGAACTTAACTTTAATTTTTCCATGATTAAGGAAGCTTAATCTAATTACAAATTATTATTCAACAGGTTAATGTACCAACAGATCTTGAAGGTGGCCAACTGTTGGCCGAGAAAGCAGACAGAAGGGAATTTATCGACTTACTCAAGAAAATGCTTACTATGGACCAGGTAATATAAACATTTCATTTATTTTCTCTATTATGTGTCACACATTGTCCTTTTTTTAGTCAGTTAAATAGTCAAATAATTAATATAATTAATTGAAAGGGAAAAATATATTATAATCAATTGAAATTGTTTGCTCTAATAATTAGGTTAATTCCTATTTCAAAGAGCAATAATTACTATTATCTCCATGTAACTGTTGCTTTATAGTTAGTAATTATTTTTCTTTCTTTAATTACAGGAGAGAAGGATAATGCCGGGGGAGGCACTGAACCACGCGTTCGTGACACTCGCGCATCTCGTCGATTACGCTCATTGTAACAATGTAAAGGCCTCCGTGCAAATGATGGAGGTAAACTTTGTGGTATTTTTTGTTATACTTGATCTATCATAGATTAAATTCTATATCATGGATATCATTAATAAAATTTCTAACTATAATTAATGAAATTAAATCTTTTTATTTTTGATATAAGAATTTAATATTTACTCTGTAAAATGTCGTGTTGTTAATTAATGTACTATCATTTTGCTTTGCCTAAATGTTTGATATCCTTGTCTATAAAAGTTGGTATAACCTGAACATATTGTTGTTGCAGGTGTGCCGTCGGTCGGGCACAGGCGTGGGCGGCGTGGGCGGCGTGGGAGGCGTAGGCGGGGTGGGCGGTGCGGAGTACGGCGTGGGCGGCGTGGTGGCGGGCGGCGCCGCGCCCGCCGCGCACCACCTGGCGCTCACCATCAACCAGCAGCGCCTGCGCGCCGCGCCCTACGACAACCTGGTGCGCACCGCACACACACCACCGCCACTACCAATCCCACCTACACCAACACCATCATCAACTATCAATCACCATTTTTGTATTTATTTAAACTTATGTATAAAATAGTGTTAAAGTCCATTGCTGAATATAGGACAGATTCTTTTTTTTTATTGCAGTTTTTATTTTTATTTTAGAGCATGCTGCTGACCATCTCATGAATTTTTTCCCTATATCACCTCTTACGACACCCACGGGATGATAAGGCGTAGTGGATATTCGTACACCGCCACTACGCGGTAAGCGTAACATGAGGCTAAGCAGGTAAATCATATAGGAGGTAATGCAGTATCCAAAAAGAAAACAGTTAAATAGTTAAATCAAAATATATGCATAATAATATTCTATACATACATATATATATATATATATATATATATATATATATATATATATATATATATATGTATAGAATATATATATAATGTGTCGCAGTCAAAACTCGTAATCTATCAAAACCACTTGACTTCACAAAAATAGTTTTAACCGATGCTCTTAGTCAAAAACAGTTTTGCCTGATTTTTGTAGTCAAAAGTAATTCTGACCAACATTCTTAGTCATAATTAATTTTGTCTCATTAAAAGTTCAAATTATTGGTGAAAACTCGTATTATTAGTAAGTTAAGATGCGGTTGGAGTGGCCCCCGGGCCACCCTAAAGTCGCGTACATTACAATAATATAAAATATAATATTGAAAAAATAATTGATCTTTTTAGATTTTAAAAATTTCAAAAGTATAAGTTTTGACCAGTTAGTCAAAAATACTTTTGACTGCAAAAATCTGTTAAATGTGGTAGTGACCAATGTTCTTACTTAAAACTACTTTTGCCTGATTTTTGCAGTCAAAAATGGTTTTGACTGGTTATGAGTTTTGACTATAACATATATACACATACACATGTACGCTTAATACTATATTAATACGTAAGTACACAAATAAATATATTTGGTTAAATACATATTTACGACAGTAACCTAATGGCAAGATGCGAACCGCAAACTCAAAGGTTGTGGGGAATATTAGTAAAGATAATAGACATTGCTACTAAAAAAAAAGATAATATATATATTCCCTGATAATCTATGCCATGCTAAATATGGAAAATGTGTGACGAGAGAATCACTCTTTAGAGAAAAGTGTTAATTCACATTTGCAATGATTTCCTAGTGTTTAAGGAACTATGTTTTTGGAAAAAAAAAACTTGGTGGCAGCCTTTTATACGTGATAGAGCTGCAGCTATATGACGGATTGGTTGACACGATCGAGGTAGAACCACGCTCGCATATAATGCCAGCGTAAAATAGCTTAATTAATGCTGCTGTGTTTCGTATGGTGGTGATAGGTAACTGGAAACACTTTTTACTGGGAACGAGGCATTCCATCGTAGAACTCAGGGGTGACAACGCTTTTATATTTTCGCTTTTATAATCTTGATTGAGGAAAGATGTAGTTATTTGAGCCACAGCATCCACTTATCATTAATGTACAATTATGGCAAATAACAATCCACAAACAATGTTCATCATTGGACTATTGATAGGCTGTAATGAATGAAGTTATTATCACGATGATGCTTGTTAACAGTAAAAAGGGTCTCTGGTTCTCGTCAATGACCATACGAAATGCCCTGGTGATACAATCAACTCTGGGCGTCGCTTCTAGTACGTGGTATATATGACTTGATTTTTTACTGCCTCATTGGTCTCGTGGTTGTAACCGCGATTGGTGAACATGAGGTTTTTTGTTTTGTTGTTGTGTTTGGGTTTGAATTCCGGATCGGACCAAAAAACAGAAATTCTCAGTAGCAGCCCAGAGTCCAGAAGTTGACAGCCTCAGAAAGCATGTAAAGCCTTTGGTCCTGCACCTAATCTTTCTCCAGTCGTGTCGGATTACCGTCCCATCGGATTATGAGAGTGAGCGAACAGAGAGTACACGTTTGCTTGCGCATACACTCTACTTTAGAAGAGTGGCCGCCGTGCCGGAAGTTGGGTGTGGAGGGAGGTGATTACGTATTAGGAAGTGGTTTGTAACGTGTGGCGGCGCGGTGTTGCAGTACCAGCTGTACGGCGGCGGGCGCGTGGCGGTGGGCGGCGCGCGCCAGTACGCCACGCGCGCGCCCGACCCCTTCCCGCACCAGTTCGTCTCCTCCATACTGTGCCAGCCCGCCTACCAGGTATACCACAACCAACTGATTTTTTACAACGTTTGAATCTTATACAATATTTTTTATTTCTTTTATCGCTCAACAAATTTGATACTACTATTACTATTATCGAATCACATCTTCACTCTTGTAGCTACGAATTTACCGAAAATTTCATAAAACCTATTCAATGATTTTGCAACATGAAGCATCTCACAATTTCGAATTTCATTTTGAAATTAAAAATGTGAAGTAATTAAAGTTGTAAAATTAATAATATTATATGTTTGTAAATTAGAATAAAAATGTTAAATCCAACGTAGTCATTTGTTATTCGTAATTATTATGTTATTCAAGTTATTTGATGAATATAATTAATACATTATTTTTATTAATATATTACTTCACTTGTGGTAAAATACAAATCAGATCGCCATAGGACAGACTTGGTTTAGTGTGGGGTCAATAGTTAGATAACAAAGTAAGCCGCAACAACATTATATGCTGCTGTATTTTTTTTTTCTTTCTCTATGGATTAAAATTTCTGTACAATTATACTATGTAAGTGTGCATGGTTTGTTGAAATAAATTTATTTGTTGATACAATATACATGTAATTGACACCGCTAAAATCTCAAGATCAGAGAGATATATTATCATAAATTAATATGGTTTATCGAGAGTTAAACATCTACATGCATTTAGAGTTATAATCTAAAACAGTCTCTTATAAAAAACGGTATAATGCGTGCCATTTTGATTTACTTGTGTGGAAATCGTAAGGTAAATACAAGAGATCATTTTTATCTGTGTATGTTCGAAAATTTTATATATAACAAATGCATAATTACCTTGAAACAGGAAAATTTACTCTATTTTCTACAGCAAAATGAAGTTCTTCTTGAATGACAAAATTAAAATAACGTCATTCATAAGGATTTTTTATGAATAAAAACATATGTACGTACATAATAACTATTAAAGTATTCTATAGGAAAAATTCAGAGAGGTTACTTTAGATTGTGTACAAGTTAATCCCTTTAAAATGTTTTTTTTTCTTCATGGAGAATTAGAATTAATGGCTAGCAGACTGCGAGTCCAAATATAGGTTGCATTTAGGTTATCAAAGAGCTAGTGATGTGTTAATAATTATAACACTAAGTTCTGCAGTTAGAGATAAGGGATAAATAAAATAATAGTAATAATCATTTATTAGACTCAGTTTAATAAATTACACTTATGTATTATATCTATTTTAAATTACAAAATAACATTTCAAAGAAGTTAGCGTTAACGGCCATACTAGTATAAACTGTGTTACAGCCGTCAGCGTCTTCCACCAGTAGTAGTACAATAATCATTTCAAAATAAGGACTTATATAATCAACTTTTCAAAGCATTTGATTTTAAAGTAATTTTTTCTAGTTTTAGAGTATTAAAATTTGAAAAGAATTTAGTATTGATTCCTTGAATGATGTCCGGGCCAGGTGCAGCAGCTGGCGGCGGCGGCGGCGGCGGCGGCGGCGCACCACCAGCACGGGGTGGGCGTGGGCGTGGGCGACGTGGCCGACTGGCGCGCGCCGCTCATCGTCGAGCCCGCGCCGCTGCCCGAGCCCGACGTCTGGGACTTCCACCCGCACCACCCGCACCATCATCACCCTCACAAAAGGTAACAAACACCAACACATTTATCACTCTATACACATAACCTAAAAGTACATACTAACATTTTCTGAAGTAATGTTAATTTTCTTTCAAAATTAAAAATGTTACCTAGAACACCAAAACTGGATTATAAATATGTATAATTTATATTTAACTTATGTACAAATTTGACAAATAAGATCAATGGAATAATTAAAATCTTATGCAATAAAAATTAATGCACCACATGAAATAAAAAATCTTGTCGATGTCTCTTCTTTTCTACCGACTTCAAACAGGAAGACATACTCAATTCGACTGTAAATTTTTTTTATGTGTGTTACCATATATTTTTTTCTTGGTGAACCGATTTCGATGATTCTTTTTTTATTTGAAAGCTTATTATTCACATGTGGTACCCATATGAATTTGATCAAGGTCTGACGAATAGTTTTTGAGTTATTTTCAATAGTTGACATTGAAATCGGCTGTTCAAAATTTTTAATTATAAATTATGTTTTTTAATTTAGATTAAATGAACATAGAATTTTATAACACTTCTACTTCTCTATCTACTGAGCGCCCGTCTATAATTTCACAGAAATTGTAGGCGAACTCCACTGTTGAGTCCATTAAAATGTATAAGTTATTTTACCACGACCTCAGTTCCCATAAATCCTCATCAATAATGGAAATTAAAGTCGACCTTCTTATTAGTAATTATGTGAGAACAGTGGCGGATTATCCTTAAAGCGAAATAGTAGACACGTGCCTACGGACTGAAGATTACAAAAGAGCGCGCGGAAGTTTTTAACGAAAAAAATCTAAGTACCTGCTTATATAAAATAAAAAATTATACTTTCTAATAAAAAAAAATATCCCTATGGATTAGAACTTCCAAGATCCGTCTCGTCTACTTGATTACTCCTACATCGCCCTTACTCTCTTATCAATCTTCACTTATCTTATCTTCACTCCCACCTGTTACAAGTCCTAATTATTTTGCAACTAAACTTAATTATAAATTATAATATAGTTTATTTGCAAAATAAGTATGTAGTTATAATTTTATAATATATGGCCACCAAAAGGGCGTCGACGAGGTGCTATCCTAGGTCGCTGTCGCCATTTTATCCGCCTCTGTGTTAGAGAAAAACCTAAGTAGTCATTACAATGCGCTGATTGTCGACAGATCAACAAAGCAGCAGACGAGCGCCGTGCCACACTACCAGCCGCACCACCAAACGCATCAATACAGGTGCCCACCACAATTTTTATGAATCAAAACATAGCAAACATTATCCATATAACAAAAAAAACCTTTCGATCCTATTTGATCACCTTCTTATATTTCCTGACATTGCAGGCTTCCTTTATTTAAATAATATGTTCTCCTATACGGTCCCATTTTCCCTCTTAAGTATGGATGCACACGATCCTCGAAATCTTGAAATAATCAGTTTTAAATTACAACACTATTTCTGGAAATATTATTCTACTTTTGCACAATCTTCTTTTAAAAATAATTGGGTTCCTTCGTCCTTGCTATATATACCACACATAATATAAATATACTTTACAAGTAAGTTATGTATAACCTCTGTCAATAATATTTTTTTAGTGACGTATTTAATTTTGTGATATTAATATATATTATATAAGATTTTTTTTAATTTATTTACCATATTACTTAGCATTACAAAAAAAAAAACTATACTAAAAAGTCGCATACAGAAAACGACCAGAGTTGACGTTACATTAAGTATAATTAATATAGTTTGTAACAACAACATTTTTCCTTAACATTGATCATAATCTCATAAATTAAAATAAGCCCATTATTTAAACAGACATAGTTTAATTTCCCATATTAACTAAAATTGCTGCATTTTACTTGCGAGTTAACAAAAGTGATGAAGGCAGATTTTATTTAAATATACTTTTTAACAATTTGTATTACAAAAATTTATGATATAAATATATACATTATTTGAGATTTGAGATTCTTTTGTGATAAAAGGTATAATGCGAATGAGTTTTTAGTACCAATATAAATTTTATTGTAGTTTTAAATTTCTCATAATGCTACATCATTATATTACATTTTTTACGTGGTAGAGCCATGCTGCAGCTATATTAGTAGTATAGTTGTAGCATGAATGGATCGGCTCGACCGGGGAAGGACCTCGCTCTCACAGAATACCAGTGTAAAATATCAGCTTAACACTGCTGTGTTTCGTATGGTGAGTGTAGAGAACCGGAGACACTTTTTACGAGAAAAGAGGCATTCAATCTTAGTCCTGACGGGTGACAATACATCTGCATTTTGATTCTTTATTGACGATGGATATAGATGTCTATGGGTCACAGCAACCACTTACTATCAGGTGGACTGTATGCTCGTTTGTCACCCTATCCTATAAAAAAAAATTAGTAGTTTACCTGAACCACAGGAGATCCCTCATTTTGATTATTCTAATTTTATATTTATATTTCCTTTCTCTGTATTTATAATAATTGGTTTCAATTGCAGTATGGCAAGCAGTGGTGGCAAAAAGGAACCTACTCAGCTGTCTCCGGTCAAGAAGAGGGTGAAAGAAGGCACACCTCCATCGAGGCATAGGCATCATCATGATCATACGTAAGTTCTACCCCTGTATTTAATATGATCACTTTCTTTTTTTATTATCACCTGATGGTAAGAAGTGATGCATCCGAAGTTGATGAAGTGCACTAACTTATCAAAAGACTATTCAATTTTATGAGTATTAAATTTAAGTATCACGATTTAGTTTTTTTTAATTAATGAATGTTACTTGAATAAATTACAAGAATTTTTTTAATGAAAATATTTTAAAATTTTCGTAATTCATGTTATCTCAGCATATAATTTAAAATTTTGTACTGCCGACTTCAATATAAGTTATTAAGAATAACTCAAAAACTATTGGTCTGACCTTGATCAACCACACGAGAAGTACCAGCTTTCATATAAAAAAAGAATCATCGAAATCAGTTCACCCAGTAAAAAGTTATGAGGTAACACTCAAAAAAAAAAACAAAAGCAAATCGAATTGAGTAATTTTTAAAAGTAAACGGCTAATTTGTTCTTCTTTAAGGAGACGATTTTCTTCTTTCACATTTGTCAAGCACAAAGTAATCGCGCGACATTCGGTGGACAAAGAGTTATTTTATTTGAAACGTGTTTTGCTTTTATTATCTTTATATATAAAAATTACGTGTCACATTGTTTTTCCGCGATGAACTCCTAAACTACTGAACTGATTTCAATGGAATTTTGCACACTGTGTGCATTTAGGTCCAACTTGAAAGATAGGATAGTTTTTATCCCGATAAGTGACCCTCAATTTTTTATGGCTAATCTTAGGAGTTTTTTTAGGAAAGCAAATGGTCGTCGGAAAGAGCAGAACAACGTCTGCCTGGTCAGCTAGTATATATATAATAAAGAACCTCAATAAAAATGTAACCCATGAAGAATCTAATTCAATAACATTATTAACATGCATTTCATATTATCCAATAATTATATTATGGTTATCGCTTGAAAAACAAGAAATCTAACATCAAGGGTTTTGACAATTAATTTATAATTTTTTCACCTCGAGTTTACAGACTTGAATTGACTATTTCATGTATGTATGTACATATTTTATTTTCAAGCTTATACTATTATCTCAAGGAGTATCAATTCTCGCGCGTCAAAATCGTGTCTAAAGTATGATATTTTGTCCAACCTGGCGTTAATAATTGGTTTTTTAATATAAAATAAACTTAGTCAAAATATTGGTCGAAGTTTTTTAAATAGGTAATTTTTTTAAATCTAATAATTTCTTTTCAGAGGTCAAAACGTCACAATAGGTGGTACGTGGGAGGGCAATGGTAACTGCGGCGGTCACACCATCACCATCCGCGACACACCATCGCCCGCCGTCTCCGTCATCACCATCTCCGACTCGGACGACGACGACACGCCGAGACGGCCGCGCCCGGCCCAGCAGGCCCAGGCGCAGGGCCAACAAGGCCAGGGCCAGCACCAGCAGCACCAGCACCAACACCAGCAACAGCACCAACACCAGCAACAGCTGCAACATCCTCAACACCAGCAGCATTCACATAACAACAGAGGTGAACTATTTTTTTTAATAACGCCCTCATAGAATACCAGCGTAAAATATTAGTTTAATGCTGCTGTGTTTCGTATGCTGAGTGTAGAGAACCGCAGAATCCTTTTTACTGGAAACGAGGCATTCCATTATAGTCCTCATGAGATGACAACGCATCTGCATTTTGATCCTTAATCGAAGATAATTGTAGGTATTTATGGGTCACAGCATCCACTTACCATCAGGTGGACGGTGTCACAGTATAAAAATATGGACAATACGGAAACTAAGCCTAGTTGATGACATAATTACCTACGCTCCATTGAAGCAATAGGGTTTTAACTTCTAATGTTTTTCATAGTGTTTTTTTTTTACATTTTTTGTTCCGTAGTGATCAATCAATCGAATTTGAATAATTAGCTTACAAATACAATTTAAATAGGTAATCTCATGGCGTCGGTTCATCTCAGCAAAAGACGATAGTTTAAACACGGTAAACAATTTACACAACAACTTGTAGAACTTTGTCATTACGGCATAACCTTTTACAAGTTTTGGCGGGAGCGTACAAGGTTCGACGAATACGTTTCGGGCGCTCGTCAGAGCGGGCGCGCGGGCAGGGCTCATGAGCAGCTGCGAACCGTACTGTTTGTGTTCAGATTTCGACCAATTTCGGAGCTTCGGTTAACGATTCTACATATTTTTTTGTAGATCTGGTAGATGAAGAAATAGTAATGAAATGGTTTTAACCTTTTTTGCGATGTGTTCCCGTAAGAATATCCATAGCATTCAAATGTTCTTCACAAACACTATAGTTTTGTGACGGTTTGTTCATCAAATCTTCTCGAGCAATCAAGCGAAGACCTTGGGAACGTCTGAAAAAGATAAAATATTATCTTTGTAATTTTCATCAGAGGTAGTGTAGGTATAGCAATCTGTTAAACAAAGAGTTCAAGCTGGCGGCCATATTTAAAACTCAGGAAGAGGGTAAACAACAACTTTTGTAAAAAAAATACTGTGCTATTTTATTAACACTTTGACAGCACTATCGGCTTCAACACTCAAGAACCATGAAAATGACACTCATGACGAAAAAATTTATATCTGTTGCAGCCACCATCTTGTATTTACATTTCGCCAGCACTATCGGCTTTAACACCCTCGAAAACCATGAAAATGATACCCATGACGAAAAAATTTATACCTATTGCAGCCGCCATCTTGGATATACTTTTTGTTACCACTATTGCATTATCAGCTTTAAATACCCTCAATACCGCCGCATTCTGGATTTACAAAAAATAACTTCACGAATTCATTATGATCGATCACATGGACTTATAATTCGATAACGATTATAACAACAATAATAAATCATTCTTACCTTTCAAAATCAGCAGGAAGTTTAAAATGCGATAGCTCCGGTTAGAAGCCGAGTTCAAACCGCCATATACTACGCAATACGTTCGTGGCATTTTTAAAAAGATCGATGAGACTCACTACCCAAGCAGCACACAAGCGTTATGAACATCAATATACCAGCCCATATAAAACTTAGAGTTAAGCGTATAAGCGTATCGAAAAGAGATTGTATACTTATAAGAGTGGCTTATGAGTTATTATACAGCTCAAGCTGTATAAAGTTTTATTATGGGATCTAAGTAAGCTTAGGGTTCTTAATCAGAATATGAAAACTCTACTATACAGCTTTAAGTATTTTGTTACACTTCAATCTGATTTTATCATTAAAGCTGTATAGAAGCTGTTTTTTGCACGCTGTCACTTGCTTATTACAGCTTTAAGTGTTATAATAGTAGCATTCAAATATTATTTCTGTACAATGGTGTATGTGAACTCCCTTCTAAAACTTATTCTTATGGTGTAACTGTACACTTTTGTAAATACAGTAGTTTTATAACTTCTGTCTATGAGTGATATAAAACTAAAAAAAAAGTAACAGCTATAGTACAGATTAAGTCTGTATAAGTGATAGAATATCGCCATTTTGAATGCGTAATTGCGTGTTTAATATATTGTGTTATAGTGAACAAATTAATTTGTTATCAATATGTGTAAAAAAAAGAAAATGATTTTGTGCAGTTAGAAGAAGGATTAAAAGGGAATATTTAAATATTACAAATTATCAACGAAATAATAGTGATACTGAAGAATATAGAAATACTTTAATAAATCAGACAAGCTACAGTCAAGCGTCAATCCCATCGCTAACAAAGAGGGTTCCGTAACAAAAACATTAAACAGTGTTAATTATGATCACAGTTATGTCAAATGTAACTTAGTTTTCGGCACCTGATTATGATGTTTTACAATGCAGCAGCACAAGTAGTTCAAATGATAATAACAGCGAATTTTCACAAAATTTATTTATTTTGCCAGCAAATTGAAGAATTGGGCCACAGAAAGAAATATATCTTAAGTAGCTTTAAATGATTTAGCTACAATTGCAAATTGTAGATTTTATTAGCTTGATATATTAGCATCTAATCGCTTTTTTGGCCATCTTAAAACGCCTTTTTCTTCCCACAAACTTGGTACAATGAAAATGCAATTTTTCCCTTTCTCTGTGGTTTCCAAAATTTTAAACGGCACATTTTCCTAAAAAGTAAAATAAAACCAGTATAAGATATACACAACACAGTCAAATTACTTCACAAAAGTTAAATTATGTATCAAATAAAATAGCTAACTCTTTTGGTTTTGTCGTACCTACGTGACGTAAGAGTATGTAATAGAAATATAAAACGATAACGTAATATAAATCGATATGCGTATGCGCTTACCAGGAGTTACCTATCAACTAAACACAATAACAAAATAAACAGCATGGTCGTACTGGTACCGTACTGCTGAGCGAGATAAAATATTCTGTCATAAAATGTGCTTTCCTTAATATTGTTTGGCAAAGAAAGAGATAGCTTAAATTCTTTACTCCACTTTTTAACATTAGAAAGAAAAGATGTATAGCTAATCTTTATTTGCTAAAGGTAGTCATATTTTTGGTTTGGTTTGTGGATTTAACTGAATCAAAGGGGTAGTAATTTATTGCCAATAAATACAATCATTTCGATTAAATCGATGGTTTTAGGTTGTTAAAAATAAAAATATATTTTTTCAATTTATTAACTTTGTCTGTGTGGCTTTATATAGTCTCTGTCTTAAAAGAAGTGAAAAAAGTAAGCACTTTTTTGTCCTTGTCCATAAAATAAAACAACAAAATTACTTAAAGACGGTTACATCTTAAAATATTATTATTTAAATGAGATAAAGTGAAGAAGGGATAAAAGTGTTGTTTTTTAAGACAAATTATCTGTGATGTTTTAAAAACTACTATACAGCGTTAGTAATCAAAATATTCTATTATACAGCTGATTAAAAACTAATGGCTGTATAATAGAATCCATAACATACATAGTACAGCTACTAAGACTATAAGACTCTCGAAATATCCTTTAGGCTGTCTAGCAAATTGTCGCCATTTAAGGACTTATATAAACAAAATTTAAATTGTAAATTTAGGAATATGAGATTATGATTATGATATTAGTTCTAGCCTAAATCATTATTTTTAGTTTGAGTAATGATCACCTTGCCCCAATATGCACAACCTATAAAATCAATATTTACTTACCATATTTAGTATTTTGTCCTTATATTATTTCGTTATTTTGCTGGCGCGGCAATTTTTTGATAGAAATCATATATAAGTTTACCGTAAATCTAATTTTGCACTTTCTATTCACCAGTTATCACCGTCAAAACTCAACTCCAATACAAGTAATATTAATATGTAATATAATCTTTCACTCACTTAATGTCGCCATCATTGAATTTGAGACCTACGCTTAAATGCTCAGGCTGAGAGATAGTTCATGATTTTAGTCGAACGGTGCATTGGATAACACGACTTAAAGATTCGTAGTCTGTAGGGTAATTGCTAAACTACAATGTCTTTTTGTAGCAGGAAGTGGCGAGTGCGCGGTAACAACAGCTCATAACAACAACACGAGCAACAACAATGTGAGCCACAGCAACACGGCGACGGTGAGCAGCGGCGGCGTCATCTGCAGCGCGCGCACTCCTCGCGACGAGCGCCACGTCAAGCACGAACCTCACCAGCCCCACCAGTCGCACCAGCCCCATCAGTCCCACCAGCCCCACCAGTCCTGCCATCATCATCACCAAGTTAGTTTAATAATCTTTCTTTAAGAGCCTTAAAATAGTCCATTTTGCAAATATTATACATTTTAGAGGGGTATTATAATATGATATAATATTATGATTTATTTATTTACTAATATGATGATATAATAATTGTATTTGGAGTATATTGGAATATATTGGAGGGCCGTGGTAGTTCAGATGGTTAGCGCTCGCTTTAAATTTCACAATACGCGAGCAACCCGGGTTCGATCCCCGCCGGTACCAATGAAATTGTTAATTGCAATTTTAAGTGCTGATTTACCACGTGCTCGGTGGTGAAGGAAAACATCGTGAGGAAACCTGCATGTCTGAGAAATAAGAAAAAAAACGCAGACATGTGAAGTTCGCCAACACGCATTGGGGCAGCGTGGCGGACATTTCCTTGCCCTTAAACCCTCTCAGAAATGAGAGGAGAGGCCTGTACCCCGCAGTAGGACGTATATAGGCTGTAACTTTACTTTAAATAATTGTATAGTTCCTTTTATATATCATAAATCACCAGCTCTTTGCTATCTGCTACTAGACAGGAGGAAGGTTCAACTTTTATAAGAAAGCACCTGACATGCGTTTCTTAAATTATGTGTCGAAAATTTGTTTTTTCTTAAAATTTGTAAAATAACAATAGTTTGAGTGTCCGTTAAATTTTTACAATTTATTATGTAACTTCTCAGCAACAACAGCAAGTGCAACAACAACAGCAACAACAACAGCAGCAACAACAACAGCAGCAACAACAACAGCAGCAGCAACAACAACAACAGCAACAACAACAGCAGCAACAACAGCAACAGCAGCAGCAGCAGCAGCAACATCAGCAGCAACAACAGCAACAACATCATCAGCAACAGCACCAGCAGCAGCAGCAGCCGCACCTGCAGCAGCAGCAGCAACAACAACAGAGCGTGCGCACACATGCGCCGGTGCAGCCGCAAGCGACACCGCAGAGCCAGAAGAAACGCCTTTTGGCTCTGGCACAACAGGAGGCGCAAGCAAAACAAGAGCCCTTGTCTGACCAGCAGCCGGCCCATTATATTTCCGTTAGTAGTTTCCCTTATTTATTAAGACAAACAAATAGAAATTTATTACGGGTTCCAAATTTCTTTAAGGTTCCGATTCTTTTTCCAGTTATGGTATCGGTTTTAAAATCTTCACATTCATAAGTCCATTAAAGTTCAGTACTGAACATGGGCCTGTCTTGTAGGGATTTGTCATAGTCACGTTTGGCAGGAGAATTGATGATCCCAGTACCAGACTACTCGCATCTTTACCGCTGCTGCCCGTCCTGGGTCTGACGTAAAGGAGATTGGTTAGACGACTGTCGGAAGCCTTAGAAATCTGTCATTTTACATAGTAGCCTCCTTAGTACACAAACGGTTTTAGATTACCGGTTCCAAAATAACGAAATTATTGTTCCATGTCGAAGGGGGAAATTTTCGTAGCGTTGTAGCTGAGCTTTATTTTTATATTTAATTTTAAATTGTAGGACAAAAATTTAGCACGTCTTTTTTAACCGCCTTCTAGAAGGAGGTTCTTAATCCGAGTGTATGTTTTTTTTTTGTATGTATGTTACGTGATATCTTCGCAGTTTTTGAATCAACTTTAATGATTCTTTTTTTATTAAATAGGTAAATACTTCAAGGGTAGTAGTGCCATATGAATTTGGAGTTATTTCACCTTCAGAGAGATTTCACCCCTAAATAACTTTTTTTAGCAATTTGGAGTCGATTTATACTTTTTGTTAATAATTATAATTATTTTTACAAAAAATATCATTTTATGATTGTCAGTCAATGAAATCAAGCAAGTTAGTACGTATATCGTTAAAAAATAATTCGTTCTTATTTGAGATTAACATTAAAAAGAATTTAAAAAGATTAATTAAAAAGATTAACTTCTCTCTACATGGTCTATTTAACTTCTGGCTACAGTTAAATTGTATTTTATTTCAGAGCGGTGCGACCATCCGTCAAACGAACGACTACCAATGCAATCAGTACATTCAAGCGCAGCACAGTAAGCGGGATAGTGTGAGTACCCATTACTTAGGTTTTTTTTAGCAACTAATGGCAGGAAGTTAATTCATTAACATAATTAAAATTTTATAATTTGCTGATGTATGTCAAGATCAATTAAAAGTCAAAATGTAGATAAGTTGTTGACCCTGAGGACTAAGCTATTGGTAGATTAATAATCTTTAATCTAGTGATGTAGGATTGAGCCAAACTTTACTTTCTAAGTTTAATAAACTTAGAAAGTAAAGTTATAATAAAAAATAGGTATTTCAGAAAATGATATATATATTTGACTATATATTTATTTAACTCCAAGAGCTCTGACGCCTAGTTACTGTTGTTAATATACATAAAATAATGTAACCTATATTAATATAATAACGCGGAAGAGTTTTTTTGTTTGTTTAAACAGGCTCATCTCTGGAACTACCAGTCCGATTTGAAAATTTATTTTTGCATATTATAGTCAGATTTATGGCAAATAGTATAGGCTATCTAGCATGAGGCTACACTTCTCAGCTAGCTTTAATTATTGATTTTGGTTAAACCATCAAGCGCCTAGCCATTTTTTCTTTTTACGCGCGAAACATCCGGGCCTGTACGAAAGAGAAGGTCGCCCGATGCTGGCAGGTGCCAATGTAAACAATGATAACTTTTTAATTTCGTGTGCCAGCTATATATAAAACTTAAACTTATCGAATCGTTATGAATTAAGTTATTTAATTGTAAATGAATCTTTGAAATCCTACTTTTATACATGTTATTATCAATCTCATTTCAAAACTGTGCAAACGACGCATTAAACGCTAGTCGCCCGATGAGAACCGAGAGAAACCAGCAGTAGACGCTTCTATTAGTTCTAACATTCTTGATTATCAACTCTCCCTCCCTCTTCCGGGTCACCCCCTCGCGCCGCAGAAAATGTCCCAAAGTGCAGTTTTTTCCACTTTTAAAGAAATGTATCGCTTATATACATAGGAGAAATTTTTAAGCAAAAACTTTGAGCGAAAAAATCGATAAAGGATAAAAATGTTTATTATACACACTTTTCATGTATCATGTACGGTTTTCTTTTAAACTGAAAAAACCGCGCTTCGGGACATTTTCAGGGACCCGGGGGTGACGATCACTCGGGGGGGAAGCGAGAGTGGATAAAATTTAACTTTGCTGACATTAAAATGTACAACATAGGGGAATATCAAAGTATACTCTCTGAACCACTGTCAGATGCTGCCCAAATGGTTTATCATTTATTAAGTAATGTATAAGTAATTAAATATTTTTGTGCTATTTAGTTATAAGGTACAATGGGACTGACATGTTAATAATAACGAAAGTCCCTTAAATAAAAAAGAATAAAAAAAAAAAAAAAAAAAAAACGTACATAATATGCCGATAGATAAAAGTACTCCATTAATCTTGCCAATTTTTTAGCTAAAATGATTGAACTACATGAGCGAGGTGTCATTTTATGTTGCGTGGCTCGGACGCGTGATATATGCGGATGAAATTGTGGGCACAGCTAGTATGCAATATTTCTGTTAGACGTTTTTCGTTAGATTCTACAATTCTACTAGTCTTTATATATAAAAATTGCGTGTCACATTGTTTGTTCGCGATGGACTCCTATACTATTGAACTGATTTCAATGAAGTATTTGGCTTGTTACAACTTGATAGATAGGGTAGTTTTTATCTGGATAAGTGACTCAATATTTTTTATAGTATATGGTGACTTAAACCACGTTTAAGTCACGTTCATGCGGGACTTAACTAGCCGATTATTGTACGGTATGTTTTACTCCAGTCACGCATAAAATTTATAATATTTTATAATTTTTTTTTTTAATATTAATTGAAACATAATAATAAATACAGAATAATAGAACTTTAATCAAGAAATATAAAAAAAATACTTGACATAAAGTCACTTAAATTTTTTTTACGTTTTTAGCTTGAACTGTATTTTAATCATTGACATATAAGCCAACATCTGGATCATACAAATTTCTGTGAATCGAGTTTCGTTGCACCTTTGGTCCTATTTAATATTATTATAATAAATTAAATCTTTAGATTGATGTTGTAATTCTTGTACTGATACTTTTTGATTCTCTCTATTTACTTACTAAATTTCTTCGGATATGATTTTGATATTTTAAATCTAGAATTTTCAGAAGTAACATTTTTGTTTGATTTTAATTTTAAATAATGTTTTTTTTTTAATTTGAGCAAATGAACATTTTTGTCTTTATAATCATATAGTATTCTACAATTTTGCAATTAAAAAAGTGGTTTTAAGTCACTTATACTATAAAATAATGTACGATACACGGAACTTAAGTAACGTAATGTACTATTATTGCGTGTTTTAAAGATTTTTTAATACAGTTGCTCAAAAAGTGGCGTATTGTAGGGACGTATAGCGTTCGGGATGTGGGCTATTTATTACCTACTCGTGCTTTTTCTTTACCTTTTCCGAACTCGTGCGTTCTCTTTCTCAACTGTCAAAATAATGTCTATTAAAAAGAAAAAATGAACCACGAAGTTTTACTAAAAAAAATTCATAGTTTCTATGATTCATGCAAATATTTCTAAAAAGAAGCTACTAATTTGTTTCAATATCAGATTTAATGATTTGAATCAATGAGTTAGGTTAGGTTTCATTTCATTTCATCTCATTAAATTTAATTTTCATTTCATATCAATAAGAAAAATCTACTTAAGACTTGGCTGTATGGGCATAGTTCCCTTTGCCTACCCAGAATGGGTGAAGAAAACAAAAAAAATCTGCTTATATTCTCTTACGGTTGGCGCCATTTTCCAAAAATGTTCTTTATTAAATTGCTTCATTTTTTCGCAACTGTATTAGAAATAATTGTTCAGTATACGTGCGGAACCGTCATTGCAACTTGTTCCGACTGTCAACCCTCACCTTCGGCTGCGCCTCGGCTCGGGTAGACATTTGTCGGAACTCTTTGCAATGACAGGCATTCCGCACTTGTAATGAAATATACTATTTTACAGGACTAAATATCACCGGAAAGGGCAGCCTGCCTCTGCCTGGCCAGCTAGTTCTTATAAATTTAACCAAGACGAGGCGAATTTTATTTTATTTGGATACTGTGAAATACTAAAACGAGTGTTTATCTCTTTACTCAAAAAAAAAAATATTCAAAGTAATGAAATTTGTAAACTGGTGTTAATTATTAAAGCTTTTGACTTTTTATTTCCATTTGACTTAATATGGTGTATAATTATAAACGTGCAGAGTGGAGGGTGTCGCGAGTACCTGCCGGCGACGAGCGGCGCTATGAGCGCAGTGAGCGCGGCGCACGCAGTGGCCGTGGGGGTGGGCGTGGGCGTGGGGGTGGGCGCACCGCCGGCCGCGCACAAGCACGCGGCGCCGCACGCCTGGCACCACCACCCGCACGCACACTACAAGTCAGTATTCCATTGTGCCCTTATTAGTCTTTAAAAAAAACATACACACATACTTTTGGCTCGGAGTCAGAAAGTTGACAATGTTCCACTTGTGCACCAAGGAAAGCACGTAAAGGTGTTGGTATTGTGCCTTATTTCCGTTAGTATCATATAAGATTATGAGGGTGAGAATGTAACTGTACTGTCGCACACACTCGTGTTGCACAGATGGATAGCCTCCGTTGAGATAGTTCATTGTAACGAAAATTCGATCTTGGGAACATTATTGTTCCTAGTACACAAATTTGAAATAATTTTATGTTGTTAATAAATACATTTTATGTTATTCCATACGATAACGACTACTGAGAACTAATTACAGTATTTAAGTCCTATAAATAACTAAATTGCATTAAGATATAGGCATTAAAAATCTGTTACCCCACTTTGTTCCTTGGGTGTCGCAGAGGCGGATATTAGAGAACCAGTAATACCTCATGACCTCCGATAAATGACTGCTATACTACTACATTGTAACTATACGCCAAAATGCTAATTACCCATACGGTGTAAGAATATCTACTGTCCCAAACCGTCCCGAGGAGGTCGTAAAAGGCGACAGTAGGAAAATGAAACGGGAGATCGACAGCAGCATCTTTCTGATAATAGTTCAAAATAATGAAAACCTGTGATTGCCAACCCGCTTGCCATGGCAACTATGGCAAAATCCCCGATCCCCCCATAAGGCAATCTATGGGGGAGGCTTATGTACATCAGTGAACTTTTATAGGCTGTAATGGATGTATGAAATTATGTATTGTCCTCCAAATAGTGACATTAGAAAATTTATCCCCTATTTTTGCACCCTAAGGTTGGAATTCTTTTCTCCAAATTTATGTGAAATTTTTTTTATTCAAATTTATATGAGATAAAATAGGAATCGTTAAAATCGGTCAACAATTGACGAAGATATATTGAGTGACATACACACAAAAAAAAACACACTCGAATTGAGATCTTCCTTCTTATTTTTACCCAGACTAGGAGCAGTGTCAAGCTGCGAGGGCTCTGGTCATCCATCCTCCTGTCTTCAGCAGGGGTTCTAATACATGCTTAAAAACTAAAGTTATATCCTGTAGATGTCCTATTACCTCTCATTTCTGAGAGGTGCACAGCAGTGGTGAAATAGGCGATAGGTAGCAGCATCTTCCTGATAACGACTCAAAATCCCAAAAAAGCTTGTTGCCAACACGAAAGTCAAGCGTAGCTACTAAGGCAAAAATATCCTTCGTAGGGGACAATCAACGGGGGAGGCCTATGTTCAGCAATGGATTTAGATATGACATTGAAATGAAATGATAGGCTGTAATGATGATGATTATTGAGATTGGTTTTTAGTGTTGTGTTCAGTTCTGGCGTAGTTCAACTTCGCACGTATGGTCCTCACTACAGAATCTTTTCGTAAATTTTGATAAGGTACTTGCTTTAAAACTACTTTAATTGTTTTCTAGGACGGCTAGTGGAGGTGTTCTATCACCAGGAGGAGGTGTTTCGCCCGGATACCTGCCGCCACCGCTTTACGTGCCCACATATCATTACCACACGTGAGTCATTGCTTTTTTTATGTTATTCTCGAACAATTGCAAATGACTGATGAGTAAAATCAAAATTATTTCATTATTAGTAATTGTATTTGTAATGTTTTTTAGCAGCGCAACTACGAAGTCATCAATAATGTGAATCATAACGTTAAAATTATTTAATTTGAGGTTGATGACGATATCGATATTATGTCAAAGCATATTTTTAAGCTGTATACATCGATCATTAATAAAAAACTAGATACACAATCAGTGACAAAAAAATGTCCTTACCGAATGAGCGCTCACTCGAACATTTTGGGTGTACTTTAAATTTGTACGGAGCTTTTTGAATATAATTTAAGGCAATGCGTTTAAGATTGAATTTAATGTATATTTATTTTAACTAAAATTACGTTAAAACAATAAGGGCTAATAATCTTCCAGACTAGATGTTGCTAGTTGTGACTGATGTAAAGTTTTTTGTTACACAATGTCAGTTGATTGAGAAGTTAGTTTTAAATAATAGTTTATCATTATCCTAGAGTATTATATAATATATAACACAATGCGTCAGTATTTTTAATTTTTTGCACTTTATAACTCTTTAAAAAATATCGGTTTTTAGTTATATTTATAGTTTGGTTTATTAATTTCTAATGTAATTAATATAAAATATAACTAATAATACAGAAAGAAACCTTAAAGATTACATTTTCCTAAGAAATTATCGTTCCTGCTATGAAATCTGTCAAATATTTTACACCACTGTGTAAAGTGGCGTTGCCCTGGTGGCAGAAAAAGTCGTGGATGTCCTCATTGGCAACAGATTTTAGAGAACTTTTGCATGGGATTGTGTATCTAGTTTTTTATTAGCGATCGATGGCTGTATTGTTATTATTTTTGTTAAAAAAATATTAACTGGTGAAAATTTAACAATATGTATTTTAATAATTTTTAAAATACTTGCAATTCGATTATTTTTAACGACAATGTGCTTTATATCGGTGGTTTCCTATAGATGCAGAGAGTTGTGGTAGCTTAGGGACTTAGCGCTCGATTTAAATTTCACAGTGCGCGAGCAACTCAGATTCGATCCTCGCCGGCATGAATGAAATTGTTATTTGCAGTTTTAAATGTTGATTTACCGCGCGTGCGGAAAACATCGTGAGGAAATTTGTATGTCTGGGAAATAAAAAATAATATTTCGAAGACATATGAAGTCCGTTAATACGCATTACAGACACGTGCATGCCCTAAAACCCTCTTAGAAGTGACAGGAGGCCTGCGGGCAGTGGTGGGACGTATATAGGCTGCATATTTAACGTAAGTGGTATGGTGTACAGGGGCGGCGTGGCGGGCCCGCCGCCGGCGCACCACGGCAGCGGCGCGCGGCTGCCGGGCTACCTGCAGCCCTACTCGCCCACCTACCTGGTGCCGCCGCACGCGCCGCACGCACACGCGCACGCGCACGCGCCGCACCAGCCGCTCCAGCCGCACCAGCAGCACCTGTGGTACGAGTGACCATCGCTACACTCCGTGTCATCCTGTCACCTTGCCATCTCACCACAACTTTTGTAGTGGCAGTCGATAGTGCCCAGCTTTCACTTGCCATTCACATCTTTAACTGGGCAAAATATCAACAACTAATTTCTGAATACATTGAAGATATCAAGAATTGAATAATATACTCTCGAAGAAGCTTTATCAGAAGATAACAGTTATCGATATGATGTTTGAGTTTGACAAGTTTTCGTGTATGGAAACCGATAGCGACTCTAAGTGAGACACTTTACAGGGACAACGTTGTCGTACAGTGTGAAGACATTAATGTAAAATTTTTAAGATTCATATAGAAATCACTCGCTACCCTTATCCACCAACGAGACGACAGACTATATGGTTGGATATAACTAGCGCTCTCCTTGGTTCATAAGGGAAGTCGAGTAAATTATTTTCTCACAGGAACTAAAACGAACGACTCCATCACACTGCAATTTTTAATTCAAAACTCTGACTAGTGTGTCGTGATGTAGGGTAAAGTTCCTTATACCAATTTCGTAAGCACGATGACTGTAATATTTTACTTTTTGTATTATTCGATTATTTCTTGTACAAATTATGAAAGCTTACTGAGGGTAGGCGTGAATGTGTGGAAATAATTTGTGTATCCTAATGCAACAGTAGTCAACTGTTATTGTAATTATTTTTTTAAACTCATTTTGTTTCTTATAGTCCGATAGGTGTTAGACAAATCATTTAACTGTATGTAATTTAATTTGTAAATGTAAATTAATTTTTAATTATAATAATGCTGGAGTATGAAACGAGTGGGTTGCATTTACTAATGTTTTATCGTAGATGGTAGTGTTTGTACCAAATCCTTTAATGGGATGTTTGTAACTTCAACACGACCGTACCATTGCTTACGGTACGGCGTGTCACTGTGCGTTGTGTAACGCAGTATATTTAGATATTTTAAAGTTTTATGTGGCCGTCAGTTGTCAATTACAAACTTTGATTTTAACTCGTGTTTAGAGTGTAGTTATTTAGGTATGAGATTTGTAGGTGAGTTTTCTTTTATTGTTACGTTCCATATCACGTAGTGTTAACCTGTTTAATCATATAAACAAACAAGAATGCTGTGTTTAATAACTATATCATATTATTAATGGGGATTTTATTATGTAGGCGTACTAGATGTTATGGCGCGGTGATGGACTACTCGTATAGGCGTAAATAAAACAATCATAAACGAAACGACAAAAAAATATATATCTAAAAGTTTTAGCACAGTCATAGGTAATTTTTGAATATAATAATATGCATGTATATCCATGTTAGTTAGAGAAAAATTTAAAAAATGCTAATGATGATTCGATTATTTTAATTGTGGCACTTTATTTTTAATTTTTCGGGGCTAGCTAAAAACTACTAGGGGAGGTTAGTGTTGTCAGCAGCAAATATATAATCAATCACCATTGAAATCTTAGATATGATACGGCAAATAACATGGAGTGAATATTATTTCTTCCCTATAGATTTAGCTACGCCTAATTAGGTGTCTAGTGATATGAAGCTAACAAAACTAATATTATGTTGTATTTAAACACGTCGATCTACCGACTGGGTAACTTAGTTTGAAGCATTATGCGTTTATTCAGATCCCCCACATGTTTATCTTATACTTATAAGCTCCACTTAGCCCTGCTGTGAATTTATTTTATTAAGGCGATCGATTACCAAACGTCCTCGCGACCAAAACCCTGTACATAGAAGTATAATAGATAAGTGTTCAGCCCTTAAGTGTTTTTAAAAGTTCTCCTATAAATGTCCAAAATATTGCATCATGCAATATTGGTTCGACTTTTGCTTATTAGTTTTAATTGTTAGTAAAATAAGGAGTTTAATTTAATTAATTATTGGCCTTATTATTGATGTAATCACTAAAACAGATATGATTCATTTACTTTATGTAATATGTATTTCCTAAAAAAACTTTTTTTTAATGACAAGACTTTAATTTAATTTTTAAACTTAGTTCATAATATATTAGCTTTGCTGCCTGACAATAAATTTATATTTAGTTCATTAATACGAATGGTTGTAATTTGATTATTTTTAAATAAATCCATCGAGCACTGTATCGAACATGCGAAGAGAATAAAAAATGGTTATATATTGTAGAATTTAAGATTCCACAATGCACAGTCATTTTATTATGCAGTTTGTATATTTTTTACTAATAGTTATTGTATACGCATTACTCTTAAAACTTTATTTCACATTTTTCTTTCATCTGTTCCATGTCTTATTCTTATTTCAGCCTCTTCGTTACAATGCTTTTCCCTTGGAATTACAGGAGTGTTTTTTACAAGTTAACAAAAAATTGGCATTAAAGACAATTTAATATGATACTACATTCACATACATACATACTCTATAGATAACAATAATTCGTCCGATATATTAAACATGAAAAAGTTATGCTAAGAAAGTATTGCTTACATTGTCAATAATACAGACTATATTGACTTCCAACATAGTGCCGCTATAGACAATACATAATTTTTCAGTTGTAATATTTTGCGAATAAAAAACACATCTTTTAATTTCATAACTCGATGGATAATGATCGAGATCGCCTCCTTAGAGGCTGTAATCGCTGATCTCTTAGAAGTGGCTTATATTTGCAATTGCGTATTTGCATTCGGCGTTTATTGCGCATAGAAAATGTAACTAGTTTGTATTTGGGAATTTTCATTTTGATTCAAATGTAATATTAATATTTAATGTAATTTTATTTGTACATTTTCCAGTTACGTTTTTCGTATCGTCGCTGTACGTGTTTACTCGGTGCGACTGTGATTATTAACTCACTGTAACGCTTATTACAAAATAATGTAATTTTTTTGTTTGGGACGATGCAATACATTTAACGCTCGTGTAATTTAATCGATGTATGAAATAAAATTGTCTGTATATTTAGTTGCACCGATGACTTTGCTACTTTGCGGATGGATGTGTTCCATGTAGCATCTGTGACAATAATATATTATTGTATTGTATTAACCGATTTATTGTACAAAATATTGCATAAAGCGCTAGCGATGTGTAGTTTTTGGTTAATGTCGATTATTCATTGTAGTCCGTAATTAGTTTCCTCTGTGATTGATTATATTGGAGCTGATTGTGTAACGCGGAGATCTGTGTTTTGCATTCAGTTGCGTTATTTTTATTTTATAATTACATGTAACATTTTTACTATTATGTACCAGTCGGTACAAGTCGAGAGCTAATTGTAATGGGTATTCTGTTTTTTTTTTCTTTAATTTAGATTAGGGGCTTGTGTTACTCGAGACGAGAAAATATTAACATTATTGTAAATTCGATTTGTGGGTGATCAGGGGATGTAGCACTGATGTTGCTTTAGTTTTATCTTCTATAATCGCATAGTTATAACGAGAGAGCGTTGTAAATAAACATCCAAATTTCCCTTTTTTATTTTACTTTTATTTTGGTACCCCCTTCCGTTTCCCCTGTGGTTTGTCCCTACCTCGGCCCTGTAGCCCTGTTCTATGCGGGTCTGTCTCTAGTTTACTATGTGTTTGTGCGACAGTGGCAGGGCTTGCGTAGATCTCATGCTGTGGTACAATTTGCACATTTTGCAAATTGCACATGAAATTCAATAATTATTTGTTACTTTCCATAGCTATCAATATAGATTTATTTACAATATAAGATATAATAAATACATCGAGGTAGGTACCAAACGTATTGTTATAAAGCACTTGAAACATTCATGTTTACCGTAATTTCCGTATAAAAAAATCCTCAAATATTATATTTATATTCGTCTATCAGATACAAATTTGCCACAGTCTTATAAAGCCGAGCAAGCCCATGCCACTGTGTTAACCGTTATAGTCAATAGTGTGGCGATCGACGCCTGAGCTGCTGTCTCGACAATAATCCAGTGTCAGACAATAATGATTATTATTATTTTCATTTTAGTAGTTGTTTTTTTTTACCCCCTAATAGACTATAGTTTCTACGTATATCGTTATGTTCTGTAGTCCTTTAGAGATCAATTTAAAAGTGTGCTGTAAGACCATTTTAAGTTTCTTGCGGCAAGTTTTTACTGCCATGTAAACGTAACTTTCAGTGTTTATCTGTAAATATAAATTTCATTAATACTGAGTACATCTGCCGTTTCTAATTCATGTAATGATAAATGAAATAGAATAATTACTGGCATACGAATATAATTAATATTATTTGATATTAAAATAAAGTTTTAACGATTTTTCATTTTCATAAATCTAAAATCTATAATTGAAAAATTGAATTTGTCAAATAGTTATATAAATATTCTTAACATTTAGTAGCATATTCAGAATATATTAACTCACGTTATCGTAATCTAAAAATTTAAAACTTTAAGTGGTCTTAGAATATCGTTTACATTCAAAATTAAAATAAACTTAAATTCTATTTACTCGTCTTCTTCGATTGGATAATTTATGTTGATTGAAATCTTAGTACAGAGAAACTTTCTTGGTGGTCGCACAGTAATGCTTAGATGTGGAAAACCAAGAACAAGTGTACTTTTTATCGATGAGGATATTTCTCTATTCTCTTAAATTAATTAAAAATAATAAAATCCTTACATGCATAATTATCGCTAGTAAAACACGTTTCGTATATTTTTATTTTTAAAACTAAAAGTTCACGCACAATGCTGTTATAACTGTCTAGTATAAATTACAGAACACATTATAATATTGACTGATTATTACCTTATCTTACATAAGCTTAGATAACAGCTTTTACGAGTATATCCAGGAGTACAGTGACTAGTATGTTAGTGTTCACCAATGTTAAATGTAGAACTAAATTGGAATATTTAGCCATAATTTTAATATATTGATGTGCGCACCACGTCTCTAGATATTTCAAACCTATATAATAAAACGTAGCGACAGGATGACGACGTAATCGTTCAATGTTAGCACAGGCACACC